CGTATGACGCTGACAGCTAAACGATGAATGGCATTTGCCGTTTAGATTAAGGGCTCCGTCAGAGTGGGATTGAGTCTGATCCAAGCACGGTGGAGGTAATCACAAGTAAAATAAAAATGGAACTACACACACGCCGGTGTGTATTGCAGTATCGTTTTTGAAATTAAGACATTTGTTGTGCAGGGCGGAATGTCGAAACACATCCGAGGCCAAATTTGTATGTAGTATGCATACGCCACTATACATTGTACTGAACATGGCAGCAATATTGTAGCAATTTGTTGCAGGTGTACGTGGGAGGCGAAAAGGGTTCAGTTTTTATTTCCACTGAATGCAAGGAATAACTACTGTTTCGTTCCCTAGAGGAAAAGCAATTTTAAACCAGTTCTATAATTCTCATCAAACAAATATTAGTTTTTTTGAAACTCCCAATTTTGCCCCAATTACTAGTGTTACCCTCGGGTCAAATATGCTCACAGTATGTTGTACTGTTTTGAGGATTTCATCCATAGTGGTTCCAATTGAAAAATGCCCAAAATCAATTTGGGAGTAGAGAATCCGATCTCTACTGGCTACCTTCGGTTCTATTATTTATGTTCCAGTCCACACACACACGCATATATATCTGCACACGATGCACACAAGCAAAAGGAATGGATACAGAAAATCTGCCAGAAACTTATTTCGAACCCTTACTCGAAATTATACCTTACAGTTAGCATAATTATATTTTTAAGTGAGGCAGGACTTATGGAGTCTCTCTGCTTCAACGTATTCACATTGAAAATAAAGTCAGTTGAGCACGTGATGGTCTCATAAAGTAAAATTAGCATTCATTTTCAGCATTCTCACCTAATAAACCTCTGGAACAAAGGCTGATTAACCCCTTCGAAGAAGAGGATAACCAGACATGCTTGTGTTCTTGTGAAAATAATTGATTTTATTATTCGTATGATGGTTTTTTGGCAACTCCTGTACATACTTCGAACGATGTCATGTTATATTAATCGCTCACTTTCACAAGGTACGTAGATCTGAAGCCATTTGCAACTTTATAATCTGTCAGTTATCATGTTTTCATATACAACCGATTTTTTGAAACCATCCATGCAATAAAATCGATAGGTGTTTGATACTCTTCCATCTCTCCCTCGGTCCCAATGAGTGAACTAAGGTGAAACGTATGAAAATGAAGAGCAAATTTCNATTTTCAGATGGAATTTCCATATAAAAACCTGATGAAAGATAATGCAAAAACAGCATGCACCCACCGCACGTCATTGATGAGCCCTTGTACCTGGAAACCATTATAAGAGAATTAGATCGAAACGCAACGGTGGTGGTTTTTGACCAGTTTGAAACAGCTCTATATTAATTCTTCCAAACGTCATCTACGCAATGAGCCCCTAAGTACACAGAAGATCACTAAATAATCTCAATCATTTTAATTAGCAAAGAGACCTGGCAATCTGGTTGCTCAGTGTAATCCGGTGATTAGCATACAGCTATAATCCAGCCAGTATATATGAAAAATCAGATCGCGAAACGTTACTGATTGCCCCGTCCTGGGATGGTTACAGTTCTCGAAAATGCCTGATGCGACCGAACATGATTTTTCGAGGGCGGTCCGTCCTTAAACAAATTTGGTAAAACGAATAAAAATATCTATATTCTGTTGAATGCAAACAGCGAGGGGCATTTACCTGATTATTTGAATAGTACTGTTTATATCGTAAATCGAAGATAAAAACCCAAGTGACAATTACGGTTTGCGATTTCAGCGGAAGCGCTTTGCTTTTCACCCGAACCTGAATAACTTGGTCCATACGAGAAGCCATCTGGATGTGAAATGAAATTTCTAGTCGATTTTTCTATCTAAATCCGGATCGATTTGGTAATTTGATTGTTATTTCGCTTGAACATCTGGGCTGCTGGACTATCCACAATCATTTTATGTCCAGAATCTATAGCAAATTGGTTCAAAATTATTATTAGTTGTTTTTTTTAAACCCCCGGAATCTCCGTTTGAGTTTGCACACCACACTGCGATATTAACACTATTCATTTTATGCTGGAATTGTGCCCAAAACTAACTAACGCACCCTTTCGTATTGTTTTTTTTACACTTTTACGGTTCCTGTTGACTTTTCTTTCCAGCGGCGTTCTGGATTCAACAGTAAAAAATAACATTAGTTAGTGACTGTCAACCGAGCAACCAGATTTAGAGCTGCGTTATCTAATCCATATAATTTGAATTCACAAAGCAAAGCTCCCCAAAGGAAGACGCTTGGCAGTGCGCAATTATTTGATCTATCCACAGTAATCAAAACAATAGAATGCATACTTGGACTGCTGCTGATTCTGCTAATACTACTACTACTACTACTACCTAGCCAACCACTAATAAAACCTTGTATGTATTTGCATGAAAGCGAGACGTTTGATTTGTTTCTCGTTTCATGTGTGCGATTTTATGCTTATTGCTAATTGTTGCGAGATTGTATCAAAGCGAGCTGTGCACGCATCATTTCGTGTATTCTACTCGCCCTCTGATGGAAGAAAAGGGAACACTGCAATCCGTTGTATCAGCTTCGTGCTTTCTGTCAGCATAATGCGTTTTTCAACGCATAACTTGCGCTTGCAATGAATTGATTTTTTATATCTTTCGTCTTCTTCATTGACCGCACATACCAGCGGGACTGACATCAGTCTAGCTAGATTTTATCGCATGTACATCTGACACCCATCAGGGGCGCAGTGGTCGTTCAAAATGCATCCACTTTCCCTATAGAACATTTTAACTTTGAACGTTCTTTGACAGGTCACTCACGCCAGTGTTGACGTCAGCTCTCGTTACCTTAGTTTTTTTTTATTCCAAGTTGTCCGATGCTAAACCGCTAAACCCAGTAGTTCCCCACTCTCTTTCTCTGTCTCTGATGTCTTCTGACAGTGAAGGTACTTCAGTGATCTAATCCATAACATGCCCTTATTGTGCCACTGAAACCAGGGTGTTTTTTGTTTGAGATCCTAGGAAAATTCGCTTCGTTTAGAAGTAAGCAAACTCGAGCTGAGACAAAAATCACACATGGGTTAGAAATAATGTTTGAACATGTATTACTTACTATTGCGGACTGAATGTTCCGAATTTTATCATGAAAAAATTCGGCTACAAATATTTCCAAGCAAAGAAGCGGAAAATGTGTTCATAATTCACACACTGTTGCAAGTCTCCAGAAATCGGATTGTCCTGATCGAACTTTCACAGGTGAATGTTTGTACACAGCTGAAAAGATAACGTGAAACATTTGAATTCAGCCTGTCCTGTGACGATGCTTGTTATTACTCTGATGAAAGGGAACTGGATGTATGAAATACCCTGTAAAGCGTTTGAACTCGACTAACAAGCGATCAGTAAACCAAAATTTCAGTTGGTCTCAGTAAGACAGTTTACCACCTGTATTAATGCAAACTTTGTTAAAGGATGTTTATCTTATTCCGTCGAAACGTACTGTTACAAGTCACCAGTGTCATGTCATACACTGAGGTTTTGCGAACTACGGATTATTTGTATATGTTACATCGTCCCTCGTCCGAAGTTCTATTTATCAGTTTTCATATCATCTGACTGAAAACACGGTTTTCTTTCAGTATTTTATTTCCGGGCAACTTTTGTATTACATGCCTAACATTGCAAAAAGACTACGGTTTGGTAGGTCACACCAATTATGGTGTAGTATGTTTCTGTCAGGGAGATGACTCGACGGATTCGGACGAAATTATATTGATGCAAAACGTAGCAACACTATAAGAATATGAAACGGTTGCAATACAAAATGGTAGTGTTACGTGTGGGTGCTGTTTTGGTTTTCGTTCTCAGTGTCTTGTATCCCTGTGCTGGGCGTTCAGCACTTTTACAGCCTGTCGAAGGAAAGGGGAAAAGGTGGTTGTCAACGGTAGTTCGACATTCAATTCCTGGGCGTCAGGCAGTTTCGGTTTCACACTACAATGGATAACCGTTTGTCAATGCCAACTTGCTTTTGTCACGTGGTTGGTTTAACTATAGCTTACGGCCTCAGGCAAACTGAAGGAAGGATTCAAACTGTTCTGATCGATCAGGGGCATGGACGTTGGAGTGACTGAACCAAACGCTTTTGAGTGCAAATTCATCGACTTCGATAGTCTCCTTGATAGCTCACAGGTTCTTTTTTGTACAAATCAATAATCACATATGTCTGTTTAGGTGCATGCGCCCAGTGCAAATTGCTACACGAAGCAGTCCATAGCAACTGTTCAACCAAATGAAATTTGATTTCTCATAAATTTCTTTCTCAGTTTAAACTCATTCGATAAACTAAATATGACCTGTCGTTAATTAGGCCTAATGGCGTCCAGGGATAGCACACACGCGATATTCTGATTGTCAGAGTGTACTCACTTGATTAAGCAGATTACGTAACACAGTCATTCAGTCATCGTTTGATTTTCTAAACAACCTTTAATTACGTCAATTACTCAATATATGAACAATCCGCATTTGTTTGCACAGTTCGGGGTGGTGGACACGAATAGCCACCGCCTCGGCCGTGCAAGGCATAAACTGTGGCAGTTGTTTGGTCAAGTTAATAGGGGTTCTGTAGAAGGAGAGGGTGGAAAATTAACATACCGGCTCATTCTTTCAGCTAGATTGATACACTAGGTTCTGACAATGCTCATCCGATGCTAAAGCCTCTGGATTTACCCATATTTGATATATATATATATATATATATATAATAGAGATCAACTGATTAACCGCTGACTTTTGTAATGTGACTAACAAATAATTGGGTATATCATTCATGTTACACCTGCATAGATGATCATCTATATAACATTTCTACAACGGCTCAAAATTTCGTCAAGGTTTCCGTCTTGTCTCCCTTTATACTTCCTATCAGATCTACTATGGCACAACATACTTCCCCAAACAGCTATATCTACTCTCAAACCCAATCAAAACGATGTCTTCAGGCGAGAATTTGTCCTCTGGCTGCTTGCTTTATGCCGATCCCCTTGGTCCACCAACTTCCAATCAGAATTCCGGTGGGACACAACTGTCAACCGAAGAACCAATTGGATTAGACAAAACAGTCAAAAAATCGGTTGAACAGGATGAATGCAAGCAAACGGTTGGGACCGATGCCATGGCAAATGTCTATCCAGGTCCATCGGTGATCGAGTTGAATGAGGACACGGATGCGGATAAAGTTTGTGATAGCTTTGTTTCCAAACTACAATCAACGAATTGTGAAGAAAGCCTAGTAACTGATAAAACTATTGATTTTCAAACCATGGACACCACGGCTAGTCCACCGCTGACTGAAGAGTCCGGAAATCCTGACAGAATGACGTACAGCAGACAAGATTATCCGGCCGTAGAATGTCCAAATCCCGGGGATTTGCACCTGGTGCCAGATGGCTGTTTTGCCGATATCAATTCCGGACCTTATGTGAACAGCCCCCCAATGTATTACATCCCTCAAGTTGTCACTTATTTTCCCACACCAGTTAAATATCCCAAAGAGACGGAGGAAATTGATGAGACTCAAATGAACTCGGACAGTTATGCTTGTACGGATGGAACGAATTCCAAATCCGTACCTCATTATCACGCTGGTATCATTCTACCTCGAATGGAATCGACCGGGGTTGCAGAAATGAATCACTATGTGGGTGTTCCTTGTCCCGATGTGCAATATGCTTATTCCAACTATCCCTGCGGACTAATGGATTCAACAGAAAGCATACCGTATCCGCCTTCAATGTATTGTTATTCACCGGATCCGGGTTATTTGATTTATACCAATCCGGTGGTTCAGAACTCACCCACATTGATTTTGGCTTATCCGATGTGATACGACGGTTAAAAAAGACGCTGCACTGGTTTCTTGTTTACCTGGTCGTTTCTCTCAGCCCCCTGCCATCACTCTTGTCTCACTTTGCTCCTGCCATTCGTTTCTAATTTTCAGGTCATTTCAATTAACGGAATAGAACTTCTGTCACGACAAGGACGTGTATAGCACGATTTTATCCGGTGCATTTTCAAACTAATCTTTGCAGCTCCTTGAAGGAAACTTCAAACCCTCAAGAATCGAAAATGTCAGACAAACGGACTAACTGTTCGTGTAGTTATTGTGTAATTTCAACAGTGACTATCAACTGATGAGTTGATGATGAGCAATGTCTTTGAACGATCAACAGAAAATCCATTTTCTCACTCACCTCAGTCAGACGAAATCAACGTTTAATGAGTACCCTTTTAAGCACATCAAAATCTGTCTCTTTCAATCCATTTAAAAGGTTTTCTCATTTGAGGATATCTCCATTTTCATACATACATACATACATACATACATACATACATACATGCATACATACATACATACTTACATACATATATATACATTTTTACGTGTCACATTACGTTCGCTTATGTCGTTTGGATTGTGCTGTCCTGGTCTTGGCTTTCTAACCGATCTGTTTTGTCTTGTCTTTGCCCGATAATGGTAATGCTTTACCCCATCAAGTATCCTCCTTCAGTCGGTCTCTTTCTGTCGGGTTTTCAACCCCCNCCCCCCCCCCCCCCCAACGTGCCCCCAACCCAACCATTCACCCACAATCATCGAGCTCCCTCGATAACTATGTGTGCGCAGCAGCAGCAGTAGCAACGCTCTGCTGAAGACCACATTTTGTGGTTTTTCCAAGATTCTTGTACCCACCGTTGTGAACATAGTCCAACGAGCACACACACACAGGCACACTGACATGTGCATCTGTACAAGTGACAAACGCATCGAACCAATGAATTTATCTACTTCCTCTGCATTCTTTTCTCTGTATAAACCAACAAAACTCTTAGGTACCGGAGCCACCAGCGTTCGAAAAACCGTGTTTTGGAACTGCACAGCTCGCAAATGAATAAAAGTACAACAGATCACTGCACTATTTCCGATAAACACGGAGTTAAATAGCATCGCAGTAATCATGGTCGAGCACATACTCCGCATGTTATTTTTATGTCTTCATCTGTTTTCTTTTTCAGCTTTTCACTCCCCTGTTCACTGTCCAGTACAATTCATCTTGCTAGAGCGCCGTCCATACCGCGAGTGATTTGTTCATTCACTCAACAAGTCAAACAATCAATCATTGTTCATCATCATGTGAAGTCGTCCCCCCCCTTCCCTGCCACGCACCTCCAACTATCCCCAATCCACACACTGCCTCCCCGATCTCACATCCGCTTCACTGTGTGTCCCCCCAATCCTGTGCATGATTGCTCACTGTTGAGCACCTGCGCAAGTGAGCTCTCATGTGGCGAGGGGATCTATCTATAGTTGATTTTGCTTGTTGTTTCTTTATCCGTCCATCAGTCAGTCTCACTCTATTACCGTCAAATTTTGTCTCCTCGTTCATTCGTCCGTCCGTCCGTCCGTCCATCCATTTGTCTATCCATTCTATTTAAGATAATATGAATGTGATTTTAAAGTATCACCACCTACGCTCGCTCTCTCTCTCTCTCTCTCTCCCTCTCTGGGGCATACAAATGTGCACGCGCGCTCGATCCTGTTTGATCACGTGATAAGATAACGGACGATTTTGGTCGTGTAGAGCGACAACTGAAAACGGTAGGGGTTAAGTGGTTTCAATGTGGTGTGGGGTTTTGAGAGAATACATGTCCAAGGGCTTCCCCGGTGTACGAGACTTTGTAATGAGAATACTTGAAATTCCAAACCACAGTTTGAGTTTTAAAAGGGAGTTTAAACGAACATAAAATCAATATACGTCTGTAGAGAAATGTGAACCGGTGAAGTGTCAAATACTCGATTGCGGTTCTATGACATTATCAAGTTATTTTCGATAGTTATTGAGCGATTGAATGATCGATATTTAGTTATTCCTTGTGGTGACCCACGGTGCATAATTTTCAAACACAAGCACCTTTTCTTTTCTTTTGAACAAATGATGCCACATCCGTTTGACAAAAGTATTCTGCAAAACTGATCTGATTACGCGCTTTCATGGATTTTGTACCTCACTTGGTTTATAAATCTCAATACATTTGTAGGGCATTCCAGTTTCTGTAGTAAAAATAATATTTAGATGGTGAAGTTCATCGCGAATGGGATCAAGTTAAACATGAGCTGAAAAGCTACGAAGTATTGGACAGATGTTTCGACCTGGTTAGGTCTCATCAGTAATGCGAATCCATTTATCTAAACAGGCTTCGAACCCCGGACCTCATAGACAGAACGCAAGAATACTACCCAACTAACATTCGCTAATATATAAAAAAATCCCGTTGTGCGTATTAAACGCTATCCAATGCACTTCACTTTGTTGTCCAATAAACAAATGAAGTTGGAAAGACATCGCATTTAGAAAAAAACTTAATTCACAAGAAGTTATCGATTCCCACTTCCCATAGATCGATCACTGAATGATTCTAGTTGGTTAAACCAATGCTTTTGGATCCGTAAGATATGTAAGTGTATGTGCTGACCTGCAGAAAGAGTAAGCCCCATTCAACGTGGCCTACTGTGGACTTAGGATTACCTACAACGAGAAGCTTGGAGTAACGGATCACGCAAGGCCTCACTTGATTTTATATATCATGCGGCCGGGTGATAGAAAAGCTGTCTGTCAACAAATCTAAGTAGTGTTTGAACACTGGACCACAGAATCCCAAAGCACAAGCACTAAGCCGACTGATCATCACCACCAAGTAAAATCGAATAAATTAATTAACCAAAAAATATCACTTGAGACATTTTTAGTGGATGATCAATGGCAAACATCAAAACAGAAAAAAAGAATCCCGTGGGGGTTGATTGTGCATTCCCTGGAAGTAAATCAATATTATTGATTGTTCTTTGTTGACTGGTGACAAAAATGAACACAGAAAGGCACGTAGAATAAGAGTTGATCGTGAAAAGATAATGAACTACTGCTAGAAAAAGTAAAATTATTTCATTTTTGTTGGGTTCGGCAAAAAGCGGAAAATCCGCATACAAACCGGACAGTATGTGTCACTCTAGGATGTAAGCAAATTAACTATGAATAAAATGGCCTTCTCGTGCATGGACACGGCGAATCAGTTTGCTCAATCGCCCACTGGGTTGGATATCCGTGTTCGGAAATATTAGGTCCCGGATCGAGGAACTTGCGTTACCGATGCGACAGAGCAAAGATAGTGCAGATGTGAAATGCTTTGCAGTTTTCTTTTCATTCCAACAATGCACAAGAAGGAGGAAAGAGCTACAAACTGATTTTATGGTTTCAATGACGAGTTTGTCGTTGTGGCTACAAAGCGAATCGTTTCTGAACCAATGTCAACTCATGAAGGACTGTATAAACCGAACTTGGATCATCATCATTTATTCGCTCACGGCACGTGTTAAGTAATGTTGACCAATCTTGCTTATCGACCGATTGTAGATCTCATAGCTCTGTGCCCACCCGCACTCACCAGCGAGTTCCATCACGATTATTCGTGATCCGTTTACACACGTCGGGGCGATAGAGCCTATCAATCGACTGAATTTCGCTCCCGTCATCGTGAATAATCGAACCAAAACAAACAAGGCTGTGGCTTTGGTGAACACGGTAACAAAATACCCTTTCTGGTATTCTAGTCAAACAGCTTAAGGTTTTCCAGACAAACTGTACTACATTAAACAGATTTATTTGCATCAGAAACATTGTCTTAGTTTTGCACTCCGTTAGAAATGAAAACAAGATCGACTATACACTGCAATCGGAACACTACTGAACAGTACGAGTATTGTAGTATTGCGAATACTATTCAAAATGGAGTTTCGGAATTTGTGCAACACCGATCCCGAAATAGAACAACTTTGAATGGAACAGCACACAGAATTTATTCGAATCGTATACTCTACATATTCAGTGCATTTAAGGTGTACAATGAAGTTAACGAGGTCAGTGTCATACATCACAAGTATGTTGCGGCTTTGATATAACAGAGAGGTGAACCACAACGAGCAAAATAGTGGTCCACAAGGGGCCAGGATTTTTAGGGGCATTAGACAGTCAGTTTTGGAGTAATATAAAAATCATATCTGTTTTAGAAGAATTGTAGTTGCATAGAAAATTTTCAACATCTGCACCGCGAATACCCTGTGGGGAATGATTTTTTTTAAACTAACCAACTAGCAATCCCTTTACTTTACTTGACCTGAACAAACATACAGTAACAGTTTTCTCCTTTCATGTAACCACAAATCAGTAAGGTTATCCTTGGTCAGAACTAACTGCATCCCGTTCTTGTCAACCGTGGATCCGATTCAACTGAATGTTTTTTTCTCTCCAGTGGCTGCCTGTAGTACAAGCCATTTCATCAGCACTGCGGATATCCCATTGGCATACTCTTTATCGTTATCCACAGTGCAATATCGGAAACCAGGCTCCAAAATCTTCAAATTAGTAGACGTGTTAAACATTCGAAAAGGGCAACCCACTTGTGGTGTTGCCTGTCTCATACTCTATGGGATTAAATACCACATTGGTCTGACCAACTACGAAGATAACCTTTAAAAGCTTTCAATTCATCTTGTGGCATATTTGTACCAGACTGATCTCCCTGTTAAAAGGATTCACTCTGCCAAGGGAAACTTGCCACAATTGCCCTGATAACGGTAAACCATGCGACTATCAGCTGCTTGGAACATTTAAATCTTTTGGCAGCGGCATCTTTCTTCAGAGGCTCCAATTTTGACAAAACCTCTGGTAACGTTTTTGATGGAAAATAACACTGGTACCAGTCGTGGTGGTTCAACCCTTGGAGATAATTCTAACCAATGAGCTGTGTGATACAGTTCCAGGACAATGGGTCAGA